ATGGAAAATGTATTTGTATATACTAAATTCTTGCATCACCTTGGATTCACATTTTTCAATTTTTATTTGTATTGAATTTATTGGGATGACATTGGTTAATAAAATTATATAGGTTTTAAGTGTCCAATTCTATAATACATCATCTGTTTATTATATTGTGTGTTCACCACCTCAAGTTAAGTCTCCTTTTATCATTATTTATCGCCTCCTTACCCTCTTTTACTTTCCCCCACCTTCTTTCCCTCTGGTAATCACCATGCTGTCGTCTGTGTCTATAAGGTTTTTTTTTAAATTATTATTTCCTTCCACATTTTGATTCCAGAAATTACCATCTGACAATGTTTTTAAAAAGTAAGAGTTATTACCTAATTCTGAGACTCAGTCTACGTTATTTTAATAGCAGAGAAATGGAATTAAATGTATATGTAAATTCTAAGTTTCAAAGTCATTAAGACCAATATCAGAGAATTTTTTCAAATGCAATATTAAGTTGAATATTCAAGCCAAAGTTCTTAAGCTAGGCTATCTTTCAAGATGAAAAAAACAAAAAAACTTTAATACATTTTTAAAAAAACCTCATTTACAAAGTTGAGTTTAAAAGAAAATTTAAACTAGATTAAAACTTAAAAAAAAACCATACACATAAATTCCAAAATGTAGGTTTTTATTTTTTATTTTTATTGATTTCAGAGAGGGAGAGGGAAAGATAGAAACATCAATGATGAGAGAATCATTGATTGGCTGCCTCCCGCATGCCCCCTACTGGGGATTGACCACAATCTGGGCATGTGCCCTTGACTGGAATCGAACCCAGGACCCTTCAGTCCTCAGGCCAACGTGTTATCCACTGAGCCAAACCAGCTAGGGCCAAAATGTAGGTTATTTTTAATGTAGTCAATTATACATCTACACAGAATAGTACATGTATAGATTCAAGCTGTGATAGTAAATGACAAAACTATTGAATTTTTAATAAACACATCTAAACTATAAATAAAAATAAATGCCATTTCTTTCTAAGTACATTCCCTTAGCACAAAACTGCTTAATCTGAGGAAACCTCGGAATAGACTCTAGAGGTCCGCAAGCCCTTTAGAAATGACATGAAAAAATGTGTGCATATATTCTTCATTCATATGTTCATTTATATGTTCATTTTTCTGGGAGGAAATACCTTCCATAATATTTTCATATGACCTCAACAAGCTTAAAAATTACTACAGACAATCATACCCTAATGCCCATGACACTGCCATCTTAGAAAAGATTTTTAGGACTATTATTAAGAAACTAGCTATAGAACTTGTTGCCCACTGCATTAATTTGTCAGTTACAGCAATTCTTGAACTTTTGAGGTAAATTTGGCTTGAAGAAACAGCCAAAAAATAAAGAGATGTATTTAATAAATGAGGAAGACAAACCAACTCACAAGAAAGACTTTGCATCAAATTTAGAGGGAACTAGAGTGTAAAAATCTAGTCATCATGATTAACTGTCTTTGAAGACATTTTCAAGCCCGGAGGTGTACAAACGCCATCTATAAGAGAGGTTGCCCTGATGACTATTTAGAGTAGTGGCAGGAGGGCATTAGAAACAGTTCTAATGGGTCTGAACAAAATAGTAAATGCTGTATAGGACACCTACATGTAAAGCATTCTCATTCTGCAACATAAACATCCGCCCACGTGTACCTTAGCTTGACGTAAAAGTTGCACAGAAACCTGGATTTCCTTTGATTCTTATAAACTGATGTGATTATACTAAGCAATTTATCCTGGCCTGCACATTGATT